TTGACTCAATGATAAATTGTATTTGCTGACAAGGTCATTGTATCGACCAAAGAACTTACGAAATGATGACTTTAAACGGGACAGCTGATATTCTTGTTTCATCAACTTATTTGTCAATAATTTACCTCGTTTTAGAAATTGTACATACGTAGAGCATGCTCTTGCGTATCGAATCAACTGAGAGATATATACTCCGTATGCAGGTGATGAAGGTATATTGCTGCATAAGTAAGGGAAGTTGACGATTGAAAAGTTAAAGTCATCACGTTTATCATAAAGCTTGGTTGTTAGATTACCATTAACGTCTTTTTCAAGTAAAATATCCAAATATGAAACAGATGTGTCAGACTCTGTGGTATCTTTTATCTCAGGTTCACCAGGATATATCGTATCGACATAAGAATGAAAATAGCCATTGTTGATTGACAATACGTCGTCGATATATCTAAATGTCGAGTTGAACGCCACAGCAAGTGTTTTCTTCTTTTCACGTACAAGATTTTGGACAAATTCTGCTTCATATGAATACAAAAAAAGGTCTGCCAATAACGGGGCGCAATTGGTACCCATAGCAATTCCAATAGATTGTTGGAAGACCTGGTCTCCAAAAACCACATAGATATTGTCAATCAGAAACTCAAGCATCTTTTTAATGTCAACTTCAGAATACTTGGGTGTACAATCAGAATGTTTTTTAACAAAATAATTTTGCAAATGACCAATGACAAGGTAAGTATATTTACGAGTTCCATTTTTATTGAAAAAGCAGCTGTCAATGATATCAAAAAGCCTGGACTTTAATTTATCGTGGGGAATGGTTGTGTATAAAGTTGAAAAGTCGTAAGTTTTTAAGCTGTTGATTTTCGTAAAATCTTGTGATTTCAAATTTTCCAAAAGTTCCTTGGAATTTTTAAGTATCCACATCTGATTTACACCACTTCTCGAATATATTGTTGCACAGTACTCTTGAAATTTCTCCTTCACCACTGTTAATATCTTAGTGAGGAGTAAAGATAGATGCTTGGTTGAACATTTACTGGAACCCGCTATATATCTTTGTTTGTAAGGATTTTATGAAGTTTCGGAATCCAATATAAATATGGTAATTCGAATTCATTTTGGTTGTTTGGAATATTAAAAATATTCAAAACTGACATATGATTTTGAAGAATTTCTTCCTTAGAAAGGGAACTATGAGTATAAGTTGGATTACCACTTGTAGAATTAAATCCAAGTTCCTCTAAAATACATTTAATATAATGAGCCTTACAAACAAAGACAATGTTGTTACCTGCTTTGTCAGCAGGGACCAGTACGTACTGATCATGTAATCTATCTAATTCTTTTTTCATTTCTGGATTATTGAATACAGAAGGATAGATGGTTTTCATATTGCCTCTCAATTATTTAATGCGCGATTTTAACATACATCTGATACATTTAATCCATTCTGACAAAGTGTCAAGGTTTTCTTTTTCATGTCTGGCCCATCGCCTGGCGTAGTCCTCTACAGAATCCATGATATTTATGAAATTCTTACGCCAGTTGAAGGATCTGGGTTCCCTAAATTTAGGACCTTTTAAAATTAGTGATCTAAGGTCCTCATTATTAACTATATTTACGTCACCAGTAATAACGTGTCCAGCAGGACTATAGTTATAGGGCGAAGAAGAACATGAACACGATGGAGGATTATGTTTCAGATATTCGATATCCAGGCCCTGTAAAGTTTTCTTGTAATTAAAAAGTTTGGAAGCAATAGTCGATGTATATTTGTAGGAAATACAAGGTGTAGTCTTTAACTTGAAATATGGTGGAATACAAGACTGGACCCTTTTGTGATTAAGAATATTACTTATATTAACCGCGTCAATTCCTTTGTTGGCATATTGAAGTTTAAGGAAAAACGGATTGTTTTAGCTGCATTTTCTTCAGTAAAACGCGGGGGTTTAAAAAGCCTATGATTGGCAATATCCATAACTACAGATCCGAGCCTATATTCTGGTGTCGAGGAATCAAAAAATGGACTTTCCTTGACCTTTTCAAGAAGACTATTTAAAAGTTTCAAAGGGACAGAGTAAACTTTGGTGCGAATGTAAGTAGCTGCAATGCCTGGTGAAAATGGATCGGCACAGTATACAGATAAAGCAGATAAATAAAAAAGTTTTAATATTTTTGTTAGGCTTTTATGAAAAAAAATTTCAGAAAACTAATTTTTTTTATATAAATTTACGCAATTTTTAATGATATTGGATGTCATAATTTCGTATAAACTTGTGTTATTTTAAGATCTTAGAAGAATCATTTCCCCCCTTAACATGAAGCAAGAATTCTCTTTGAAATGCGAATGTAAAAATCTTATTTGATTTAATATGTTTTTATATTATGTCTATCTTAACTAGACCAAACTTTTTATTTGGATTTACCGGACAAAATACATGTTCTATAAACGTACAAACAATGTGATAAGGTAATTAATAAAAATCGTGGAAGGGTATAATTATAATAAATAAGGAAATAATGTAAATTGGCGGAGAAGAGAGACGTGTTTTACTATAAATTCCTTCCGCTTACATATCAATGTTTTTCCTCTTTATTCAAAGAAAAAAAAAAGAAAACGCACAATTTGATGAAACACAATACGATAATATATATATATATATATATATATATATATATATATATATATATATATATATATATATATATATATATATATATATATATATATATATATATATATATATATATATATATATATATATATATATATATATGTGTGTGTGTGTGTGTGTGAGGGTGTGTGTGTGTGTGTGTGTGTGTGTATATGTTGTACTGTACACGCATAAGACTCTGGCTAACGGAAGAGGCAATGTAGCGGTAATGTATACTTTAAAATGTAGCGGTAATGTATCCTTTTTTGTAGCGGTAATGTGCATGTAGCGGTAATGAAAATTTCGAAAATGTAGCGGTAATGATACGCACCCATTAAATCACACATGAACATGAACTTTATTCTCATAACTGACAAAACAGTGAAGAGAAGATATGTACAATATAATGAACAGAAAATATTACATGCCTGAAGAAGGGATAAAATAGCGTAATATCAACCAAGAGAGCCAACTCCCTCAATTATAATATCTACCAATTTACAAAATTTGCTACGTTGATTAATATTTTTTTTACATTAAAAAGCATTTCAAATAACAAAACATTTGGATTTGATTGAAAATATTTTGACAAATACATAACTCTTGAGTTCTTAATAGATACATCAGTACATTTAATTAAATAAGTAATGAAATCCATCCCCAATTTCATTACAGTTACATAATTTACAAATTCTATTTTCTCTAGGGATGTTAAACCATCTACCAGTCTCAATTGGTAATTTTGTATTCCCAGTTCTAAATAAACAATATTTTATGTCTAAATAGCTTTTGACGAGCATTGTTAATTAAGTTTAATTAAGTGTTAATTAAGCATTGTTCAAACTTAGTCTGGCTTATGGTGACAATGCAAGACAAGACAACGGTTTATTTTCATAACTGAAACAATAGTATAGACAGGAAGAATGCAGAATGAAATTGTGTGACATCTGGAAAATTATAAATGTCTAATTTCTCAGGTACGTTTCATGATTTTCTTTTTTTTCTTGTTTATTGAAATTGAAATAAAATATAATTATGTACATAAGGTTTCCTGATCAAGATAAACAGAATGTTTATAACGTCTAACTTCCTTTTTAGTCTTCCTCATGTCTGATTTCTCAGGTATGTTTTATGGTTTTCTTAATTTTTTTCTTGTCCATTGAAATTGAAATAAAATATAATTATGTACATAAGGTTTACTGTTCAAGAAAAACAGAATGTTTAGAATGTTATAACGTCTAACTTCCTTTTTAGTCTTCTTGTGTTTGTGAAAAAAGAAAAAAAAATGTCAAGAAAATGTACATGTCTGTTTGATACGATTAACCGGTTAATCGGTCGGAACGTCTTGCGGTTAACCGATTAGCAATTCGGTATTCGATTGCTATTCCTAATATATGTATGTATGTATGTATGTATGTATGTATGTATGTATGTATGTATGATAGATAGATAGATAGATAGATAGATAGATAGATAGATAGATAGATAGATAGATAGATAGATAGATAGATAGATATTTGAATAGTTTTTCAATAAACATTTATTTCAATAAACAATTCAATAAAAGGTTAAACCATTACACTTTTGACAATTGATCTGGTTCACAAATGCCCTAAATTAATTCTGGTTAGTTTGCCAATGGAAATGTTTTATATTCCACTTTACATTATAGATAATGTGGACAATTTTGACTCTGTACATAGGAATATAATTATAATGATGCATGTTTACATGTATTTTTGCAAAGTGTCTCCTCCTTGACATGTACTTGACTTGCAGTAACTGACATGATTTGATAAAATTTCAAGGTGCAAGCCACATGTAATTTTTCAAAGGTGTTTTCAAGATTAACCCGATCAATGAGAAAAGGTGTCCTCATACATTTTCGTTCAACATCACGTACCTTTCTTTGGAACTTACGTAGTGAACGTTCTAGATGACTGCTAATCCTTTGATTTCAATTGTCTCACAGACATGATTTTTAAAACAATTTTAAACTAGAAGTCTGATCTGATTATTAACTTGAATAATTTTCAAGGAAGACGTTGACTATTCAATTATACCTACACCTATCACACGAATTCAGTCAATAGAGTATCTTATAAAATGCCAGGTATTTTATCAGATCTATAACTGTTGATTTTTTTTTTCTGCTTACATACATGTAGCAGTTGTCTTTATATGTATTTTTAGATTACGGAAATTAAATTGCAGCTATCGTAGTGCACATGGCCTAGATATATTTAGGGTAGTGTTCCAGCGCATGTGCAGTATATTCAATGGTTTTGTAAACATTGGCTGCATTGATTCAGATAAAAGGTTGAAAGATTATCACAGAACTCTTAAAATATGGGGACAACGCAACAATAAAAACTATTTAGTATAGTGGATTGTGATTCCAGAATCAGGATTATCAGGTAATTTAAACGATTTATTGCCTGTTTTTCTAATAGTGTTTCAAAGAACGTGCCTCCCATCAGCCACGTACTTTAAATCACATGTGTTGAAATGTTTCGGCAATGTGAGGTTTATGGTTTAAATTGTAAAGTTTTATTAATTAGCTGCAAATCCGCCATCGTCACTCAAAAGTCATATTGCATTTATAGGACATAATATGTAATTCAGAGAAAATTCAAATACTGAGTATATTATTGGTGCTTTCAAACTTGTGAAATGTAAATATAAGGAATTTTTTAAGTTTAGTTTGAATTATTGGTGTGTAAATCACACAGACTTGCACGTAAGCATATTTTTCATGAAGCGCTAGCGCGCTTCATGAAATATGCCTGCGTAACAAGTCTGTGTGATTTACACACCAATAACTCACACAAAACTTAAAAACATTCCTTAAATAAATGCATAAAAAATTTTGGAAAACAAGTTCGTTGGATTGAGAACACATCAAATTCTCTGTGAGCAGTTTCTAAAGCAGCGATTATATCCTCAAATTGCATGTTTGTGTAATGTGGTCTTACATCATAACCATTCAGCAGGCACTGCATGGTCGCAAACTATCTCTTATTTATATATAAATGTGCACAAAGTATGCACAATAGGTGTTAAGAAAGTCAATATAATGACATGATCTTTTCTGTAGGTGATTTCATTTGAGATATGAAAGACATTGATCCTTATTGAATGACAGGTATTTTGCAGCTTCAATAATTTTTGATATATTAGTATATTTTTTCAGTATTTTAATTTCTTTTTAAAAGATTTCACTATCAAATTTGTGAATTTTCGGGAAAAATCCAATCTCCTATCATCGTGATTTTAGCTTTGTGCAGAAATCTGAAAGTGATATTACTAGGGACACCCTTTGCATTCATTTTAGCAATTATTTCTTATATAAGTTCTGTAAACTGGAATCTGTTATTGGGAAGTTATATTTTAAAACAGATAGCTGTTAACTTTTTTTGAAGTTACATGTATCTGATTTCTGCAAGACTGCGCTCATATTTTTTATCAGCATAAGTTTTGTTTGTTACCTGAGTCATTCTGGACTGCCAGGTGACCTATTGCTACCTGGTTTCGTCCGTCGTCTTCCGTCGATCGTCGTTCTTAGAGTTTTAAACTTTTTCAGCTTTTCTGTGAAATTGCTGATCAAATTTCAGCAATTTTGGCATATAGCAACTACATGTAAAATAGTGAATTTCATGGTTCTTGTCCCCTGGTGCCTGAGGGGTGGATCCAAAACCCCAAACCATAAAAAATGATGTAATCTTCACAATTCTTTTTTCTTTACTCTTTGACATCAAGCAGTCAAACTCTTTGCAAGATTACAATAAACAGAAACCTCTTCTAAAATTATGAAAGTTCTTTATGGCCTCAGGGTAAGGGGTTCTAAGTGTTAGAATGGGGCTCTATTGGTCATACAGTACAGTGAAACTGGAGAAATTCCTTTTAAAAAAAGATATTCTTCCCTTATGAATGTATTACAGACAAACTAAGTGCATGGCCATAATAGCCCCTGGGTTAGGTGTTAGGATGGGGTTCTATTGATCATAGAGTGAAAACCTTTTCTCCTCCTGGGTCCTAAGCAGACAAACTAAGTGCAGAGTTATGATGATTATGGGTGCGTCTACCAAAATTAGGACATTGATGGCCCAAGGGTGAGGGGTTCTGGTGTTAGGGTAGGGCTCTATTATCATATAGTGAAAATATATTAATTCTTTTAAATTCTTTTTCTCTGCTCCTAAGCAGAAAACTACATGCATGATAATGATGAGCACGGGTGTCTCTTCCAAAGGTGAAATTCATGGTCCCTGAATCAAGGGTTCTGGTGTTAGGGTGAAGCTCTATTATTTATAAAGTAAAATGCGTCAATTTTACGAAATCCTCTGATCCTAGGTACTAAACAGACAAAATAAGTGCATGGGATTTTTTTTTCTGAATTGTGAAATTCATGGCATGTGGGTGTCCGATTCTGGTGTCAGGGCGAGGTGCTATTGACCTTATATTGAAAATCCATTAATTCACTAAAACAATTCTCTGCTCATGGGCATTTAGCGGGCTGGAATGTACAAGGGTGTTTTTATCACATTTGTGAAATTCATGCCCCTTGTATCAGGGGTTCTGGTGCTAGGTCAGGGCTTCTTTGTTAATTTAGAGACATTTTACTCTACTTTGAGAAAAGTCATTCTCCTTTAAATTATTCATCTATTATATTTAATCAGCGTAAATAATATGACTGAAAGGTATATTGAACTAGAGCCGAGCTCGTTGCAAAGCAACGAGAGGTCTTCCGTTGGAGCTGCAGGCAGGAAGAAGTGACCTTGAGTCAAGGTCATGCCATATTATAAGATTATAAGCAATCTTGAAAGGGTATCTTGAACTTGTCCAAATGACCTTGCGAAAGCCATGACACACTCTGGTTATGAGCAAACCCCATCTGTGTATTACTGACTTCTCAAATTCACACATGTTCATACGGTTCATACATCCAGTCAAAATATCTTGTTCTTAGTGACCTTGAACTTGAGTTTGGGCCATGTCACGCTCTGCGTGATACCAACAATGTTTCACTAGAAAAAGACGGTAACGAATTTATAGTTTCTCATCCAAACTCATCCAAATGACCTTTCATCAAGACCATAACACACCCTGATTAAGAAAAATCCCAATCTGTGAGTTATTTGACTGGATAAGTTCAGCCATGTTCTTTCAGACCATAGATCGAGTCAAATAATTTATCAGGTTCCACACAATGATTTAAGGATCCATTGTGAATGTTTTTGTCCAGTTTGGATATTGAACAAGACGTGTTTGTGAAACACTGATGCCCCGGTATTGCAGCTTATGGCAAAGGTTTAAGTTTCTCAAATCCGTATCCAACTCCAAGGTCAAAGTCAAGAGATAAAAAATTATGTTACTCAAAGAAAGATCTCGTCTCAGGGATATAACTGTGAAATATGAAACCGCTTGGACAAACTATTGAAAAGTATGGCAAAGGTTAATCTTTTTTTTAATACTCAAGTCAAATGTTAAGGTCAAGGATAGATTAACTGTGTCCAAAGGAATGCCTTGTCACAAGAAATAGACATTGAAATATGAAAGCCCTAGCATTAATTATTCAAAAGTTATGGCAAAGGTCAACTTTTTTTTCAAATGTAGGTCAAACCCCAAAGTCAAGGACAAAAATCAAAACTGTCGGTACTAAAGGGAGGGTTTTGTCACAAGAAACACACATGTAAAAATATGAAAACCCTAACACCAACCGTTGAAAAGTTATGAATGAGATTAAAATGTTTCAAAGGTAGGTCAAACTCTAAGGTCAAAGGTAAAAAGTCAAAACTTTTAATTTTTTTAGAGTACGTCAAACTCCAAGGTCAAGGTCAAATAGTAAAAATTGATGATACCCATTGAACGGCATTGTCGCAAGGAATACACCTGTGAATGTAAAACCGCTAGTCCCAACCGTTCAAAAGCTATTGCCAAGGTTAATTTTTTTTTAAAGTAGGTCAAACTTCAAGATGAAGGTCATAAGGTCAAAAATATTTATTCCCAAGGAAAGGTCTTGTCACAAAGAATTTCGGATGTGAAGTATGAAAGTCGTAATGCCAACTGTTCAAAAGGCTACAGGCCCGTAGGAAGCAATTTCAGTTGGGGGGGGGGCACAGCTGAACATTTTCAGTTGGGGGGCACTATCAACTACAAAAATTCCTTGACAAGTAAAAAAAAAAAAAGAAGAAAAAAAAAGGTCATCAGACGTTTTTATTGAGGAGGCACAAGCATATTGTAGCTATGTTTTCTATAGTAATCTATATATCGGCAAAATTATTGGGGTGGGGGGGGGGGGGTCACGGCCTACGGCCATGGGCTAAATTTTGTATAGTTGGTCAAACTAAAATGCTGTCGAAAGGATAAGAGAGACTCCGAGGTATTCAATCAAGTAACTTACGATATTGCAGATCAAATAAAGCATGAGCTATAAGAGCAGGCACGTAGCATCAGCCCCCCCCCTTTTTTTTCAGACCTAACTTTTTTACTTCAGTAATGTTCATTGAAAGTCCCGTTGGCCCCCACTTTTTGTTGCAGTATAGTCCCGTTGCCCCCACCCCCTTCCGCCAGGAAATAGGATTTTGGGCATTTTTTTTTCGTTTTGGTTCTGAAGTCTTTTCAGGTAAATTATTTTTTTTTCTCTGGCTGCCCCCCCCCCCCTTTCAAAAACGATGCTACGTCCCTGAAAAGTAACATGTAGAGATGTCTGTCCTGGCATATATAGAGAGATAGAGAGATTGTCAATCAAATGGCATGTTCAACGCAATAGCAGCAATAAGAAACTCGCCGACAGTTTTTTTTTTTTTTAAATTCCAAATTGCTTTTTAATTTCTACAACTATTTATAATCCTTTTAATGTATGTTCGTGGATTATTGATGGAATAATTTTAGTTACATGTCAAGTTTAATATTATGGTGTTTGTGCTTTGTAGCAACGATTTGCTAAATACTTATAATTTTCTATGATCGTACCGAAAAGTAGATACATGTTTTAAAGCAGAGCTGCCGCTCAAGCTTTATTTCTGTCCTGTAGATCTAGAGGTCTTTGTGTATATATCATAGGTAAAAGTACCAATACAAGATCACATCCCTTCAAAGCTATATTATTCTTGCTTATTTCGCCCCTTGCAGTGACGGATCCAGGAATTTCATAACGGGGGGGGGGGGCAAAGTAGAGGGCAGGGGAGGGGTCGGGGGGCTGCATTGAAGCCCCCAGTGGGTCTATGACAAAGCACTGGTGGGGATCCAGGCCCGTTATCCAGGGGCGAAGCCCCCAGAAGTTGACAAATTTTACAAATAAGAGATGTTTTTCCCTTGATTTTAGGATAATGGACATATAAGTTCTACATACGAAAAATTCAAACGAAGGGGGGAGGGGGGGGGGCGTGCGCCCGGCGCGCCAGCCCTGGATCCGCCT